AAGAATTAAAGAAGACTGACAAGAGAATACAGTGGGCTAGGTAGATCACTGTGCCTGATGAGGAAACAGTGACACAGACTGTAAGCAAAACTTTATTTAAATCGTCAGATCACACAAAAGCAAAAGAAGGAGAATGGTCAACATGTTTACAATGTTCTTGCGAGTTTCAAATCTATTTTGTTACTCAAGCCTTGTTTTGGCAGCACTTGATGCACCTCCCACAGCCCATTAACTACCTAGGAAAAAGGGAGGACTATTAGGTCAAGCTTATAATTTGCCTATATCTAACTGCTAGGAGAGGCTCTGCCCTCCAAATTCTCTCCTAATCATTCGTTTTCTCACAGGTCAGTTTGAGGCTTGACCCTATAGTCACTCCTTACATATTCCATTGTATATATGTATGGTATCTTATTTATCCATTCATTTATTTTTTAAATATATATTTTTTATTGATTTCAGAGAGGAAGGAGAGGGAGAGAGAGAAAGAAACATCAATGATGAGAGAGAATCATTGATTGGCTGCCTCCTGCACACCCCCTACTGGGGATCAAGCCCACAATCTGGGCATGTGTCCTGACTGGAAATTGAACTGTGACCTCCTGATTTATAGGTTGACACTCTACCATCAAGCCATACTGGGCAGGCTATCCATTCTTTTATTCATGGACATTTAGGTTGTTTACATTTCTTGGCTGTCCTATAAAATAAAAGGCTAAAATGCAAATCGACCAAACGGCAGAACAACTGGTCGCTATGACGTGCATTGACCACCAGGGGACAAATGCTCAACCCAGGAGCTACTCCCTGGTGGTCAGTGTGCTCCCACAGGGGGAGCACCACTCAGCCAGAAACAGTGCTCACGGCTGGTGAGCGTGGCAGTGAGAGGGCCTAAGCCAGCAGTCACACATCCCCTGAAGGCTCCCAGACTGTGAGAGGGCACAGGCCGGGCTGAGGGACACCCCTCCACACCCCAGTGCAGAATTTCGTGCACCAGGCCTCT